GTCGTGTGGCGCCCCGGGGGTGACGGCGGGGGGGGGGGCGTGGCGTCACGGCGGAGGGCAGGGGGTCTGCAGCTGTGTCCGGAGGGGAAACGGGAGAAAACACTTAAAATCCTCTTAATCCATTTAAAACCCCGGGAACGGGGCGGGGGGTGTTGGAGTAAAACCACGGCGGCCCCCCCAAAACTGGGAGCACCGGGGGTGGGCGAGGGGAAGGGGCGGCTGGGAGCACCCTGGGGTGGGCGAGGGCATGGGGAGGGGATGCCCGGGAGCACCCTGGGGTGGGCGAGGCCGTGGGGTGCCCAGGAGCACCCTGGGGTGGGCGAGAGCATGGGGAGGGGGAGCCCAGGAGCACCCTAGGGTGGGCGAGGGTGTGGGGAGGAGATGCCCAGGAGCACCCTAGGGTGGGCGAGGGGAAGGGGTGCTTGGGAGCACCCTAGGGTGGGCGAGGGCACAGGAAAGGGGTGTCCAGGAGCACCCTAGGGTGGGTGAGGGCACGGGGAGGGGACGCCCAGGAGCATCCCTGGGGTGGGGGACGGCACGGGGTTCCCAGGAGCACCCTAGGGTGGGCGAGGGTGTGGGGAGGGGATGCCCAGGAGCATCCCTGGGGTGAGCAAGGGCATGGGGAGGGGCAGGGCTGCCCCAGCCAAGGAGATCCAAGGCAAGGGCAGCAGGGATGTGCAAGAGCACCCAGTTTTGGGGAGAAACCCTCCAAATCCGACTCCAGGAGGCTGGGCAGGGGCGGGTGGGGCAGCAAAGCCATTTTGGTGACCAAAAAACAGCCCTGTTGTCAGCACTGTCCCCGGCAGCCACCGCCAGCCGTGACCCCGGCGGCAGCAGGATGAAGCAAAATCCCCCCTGAGCTCTGGGTGCCCTCGGACCCCCATTGCCAGCCCAGGACCACATCCCGGCGTGGGGGGGAGCATGTTTGGTCCCGGTGACACCGAGCTGGTGACAGCACGTGCCACCACACGGGGCCGAGGGGAGGAGGCCCGGGATGGGCGCCAGGGGTGGCTTTATCAATTAGCAGGTGGAGGTAAACAACGCGGTAATTACAGCCAGGGAGGATGATGCTAAACTGGGAAGGTGTCACCGACACCGGTGAGGACAGGGGATTAGCCGAAAAGGAGCGAGGGAGGAGGACTGGGCGGGCAACCAGCGGGGACGGTGCCCAGGGTGGCACAGACCCCCAAGCACCGATTTTGTGCCGGGATGGGGAGAAGGAGCCGGGGTCGGCAGCGCCGGGGTGGGGAGAGGGAAGGTTGCAAGGCAGCACGGTGGAAAGGAATCAGTTTTGGGGTGCTGATGGGGTGTCAGAGCAAACCCCGAGGGGAGGCAGCCAGGAGGACCCCGCCGTGTCCCCGGCCGAGGCATGGGGAGGAAGAGGAAGGATGGAGCGAGGCTGGTGCCAGGAAGGGTTTGCCGGCGGTTCCCACCGCCTGCTGGGACACGCGGCTGCTCCTGGCCACCGTCCCCACCGTGATGCCCCACGCCGGCACCTCGGGGCGCAGGGGATGCGGCAAGGAAGGGCCGGAGGCAGAGCTGGGACAAGCGGGTCCTGGCATCTGGGCGTCCCGATGGCCGCGGGGCTCAGGGAGCAACTTCCATGGAGGCTCTGCCCCATGTGTCACCCTGGCCTGGGCGCACGCTGCGGGGGCGAGTCTGGGCCCTTCCTCCAGCGTCAGACCTGCCGCCCCGGGCAGGGGTGGGGAGGAAAGGGGGGACGGATCCGCACGGCACCGGCACGGGGCAGGAGATGAGGGTTGGGCGATCCAGAAACCATCCAGACCTTCTGCAGAAGATGTCTCCTGCCGGGGCAGCAGGTGAGGCTGAGCCGGTGGCCGGAGGCTGAGAAGATCAGGGAGGGATCCCACCAACAGCTGTGGCATCGAGATCTACCAGCTGCAAACCAGGAGCTTCTGGATGCGGGTCCTCGTCGCTCCGGACCCCAGGGACGGGGTCTCAGCTCTTGGTGCTCCTCCTCAGAAGCATATCCCATCCCGTGGAGAGCTCTTGGGTTTCAACAACAGCTTGCAAAGCCCCGAAGACCCTCAGCAGAGAGGAACGAGGTGTTGGTGGCCTCCTCGGGAACCCAGAGCTGCCGTCGAGAAGGGAAAGGCAGCAAGTTGTGTTGAGCTGGTACGTGACTGGCAAGCCCTTCCCTCCTCCCCAGAACACAGATAGCCCAGAATGGGGATGGAAAAAGTGCCGTGTTTCCGTAGCAACCAACATTTTCGTGCAAGGTGCTGCACGCACTCCACGCGTTTTGCCACCCAAGGGTGCTCCTCACCTTCCTGCTCCACGCAGGGAGGGTCCTGCCCGGCGGGACGCCTGCGCCCAGGTGGCAGAGCAGATCCCCAGCCCGGCACTGGGGCCACGATGCCCCGTTGACGCCCGGTGGCCTCCTTCCCTCCTCCTCCTCGCCCAGAGTGAAGGAGCCCAAAACAGTGGAGCAACCTTGGGTGGCTCCTCGCCGTGGCGCGGTGATGCTGGCGTGGCGTCTCCCGGCAGCCTTTGCCATGCCACCGCCTGCCCGTGTCCGGCATCTCCAACACAAGTCACCAGTGGAGACGGGCGTAACCACCACCACCGCCACCATGGCACCCTCAGACGATGCTGGGGGCCGCGGCGGCTCTCCCCACACCGTCGGCTGTTGTCCATGGCGGCTCTGGCCCCTACCCATCCACCTCGGCTTGTCTGAGCCGTCCAAGGGGACACCGCAGGGACCGGCAACTCCAAAACCAACACGCAGCCCCTGATCGCTGCGGGACCTCCAAGATGCTCAGAGCACCGAGCGAAGGGCAGCCCCGGCTTACCCTGGCCCTGCGCCACAGACGGCAGCCCCCACCACCGCTCCTGCCCCACGCCGACTCCGACAGCCATTCTGGCCTCGTCCTAATGGTAACCAAAGACTCAACCATCCAGGAATCCACTCGGGGACGTGGGAGCCCACCCGGCGCAGCGCCCATCGGCTCCAGAGCTGATTCCCGCAACACCACGAGATGCCGTCCCTGGCTGGGCCAAGCGTGCCCCAAGTCACTGGGCAGCCACCCCGGGCGCCGTCTGCCCCTGGGTTCTCCCCAAAATTAAAACTTCTCCAAGCCAGGGAGCTCAGCGAAACCCCAGGGACGGGCAGAGCTGCCCTGGCCTGGCAGGAGCAGCAGCTTCTCCGGGGCCCGGCTGCGGACGCAAATCAAAAGGCAGGAAATTTGATGGCAGTGCTGGTGCCTCCACACCCCGGGAACACCGGGAAAGACCATGGTGCCAATGCCGGCCACCAGCACCACCGGCGAGCCCTGGGGAAAGGGGAAGCTTGCGGGATGTTCAACCGCTCCGGTCATGCTCCAGCCCAGCAGAGCCGGACCCACGTGGACCAAGGGACCCTCAGCATCCTCCAGCCTTCGCCTCCAGCACGGTCCCAGCTCCAGGAGAGCCAGGGCTCCATCCCTGACCCTGGGGAAACAGTTAACCATCGCGGGCCACCATCCATGTACCCACTTCAAATATCCAAGCGCCTCGTCCTGCTCCTTCTCCCATCCGTCCCTCGTGCCCGAACAAGCGCTGGCTCTGAAACCTGGCGGGTTATTTTTAACCCGAGCGACCCAGCCCGGCAAAAATCCCCTCTCCGCTCTATACCTGGGACGACTCGGCCGGCGAAAGGCGCGGGGGCATTACCGGCTGACGCGGTGCGATCCTCTTTCGCCCACCGTTATCCGACAGACGCAACCCGGCGAAAGCCGCCAGGTCAAGGGCAAACCAATGTCGCGGCGGTTTTGGGGGGGGGCTGCGGGGCGCACCCCGTCCCCGCGCGGCCGGGAAAAGGGGGGGACGTGAGGACGGAGCCGGTCGCCTTCGGGGTCACCCGGCGTCCTGGCCAGCTGGTCTCGCCACGCCGTCCTGCGAACAGAACTGAAGGAGAGGGGGGGCTGAGAAAAGGTTGGGTTATTTAAAAAAAAAAAAAATCATAGCAAAAAAAAAAAATTATTTAAGAAAATACAACACTAGAAAAAAATGTACAAACAGGTTTCAAAGTCGCCCGTAAAGAGGCACAGCGCCCACCGTCCTACACATTTCAAGCCATTTTAACATCCCCCTTACATATTAGAGACTTTTTTTTTTGTTGTTCCAAACCAATATAGATCTTTTTTAAGCAAGGTAAAATAAAGATATTTACTACAGATTTTGATTGTCAGCAAACACAATATATTTACTGCATTAGCATTTGCTCACAGTGCAAATGGTACAACAATACATCAGTTCAATATTTCTGATTTTTTCCCTTAAAAATGCTGTATGCATTAACTATCATATTTGCATTACAACATGACAAATGAGCAAATGAAATGTGTGTGAAAATTATCACCTTTTCACAATATCAAGCATAATTTTTTTTTTTAACCTTAGTATAAGGTACTATAAATCCAAGAAATAAAAACATCCACAAAATATATTACATCTGGTATGATTTTTTTTTTTTTCTCTAAGTACTCAACTTTATACAAAAGTCTTTCAAAAAATATCATTCCCTTAGGTTTGTGTGGTTAAACCTGATTGTGGTTTTTTTTTTTTTTTTGTTCCTTTCGGTTCACATAAATTAGACTGCATTTTTTCTCTTCTTTTTTTTTTTTGTACTTTTTTAATTTTTTTTTTTTTTTTTTTTTCACATGCAGACATCAAACCTGGATAGCACGACCTTTTGGCAACAAAGATTTTTTTTTTTTAAGTCATTATTATTTTTGCTTAGTTTAGCTTAAATGTCTGAGCACAGTTTTATTAAAACAAAAGAAGAAAAAAATCAGAGCAGTCATGCAATGACATGCACATACCAGAAGGAGAAAGAAAAAAAAATAATAAAATAGAGGACTAATTGATTTTTCTCCTCCGTAGTTGGTTGGTTCTTTTAAAGTGACCAAATAAAATAAAATAAAAATATCTCACATTATAAAAAGTATTCAGCAAAATACTGGGGGGGTGGGGGGTGGGGGGTCTGCATTTCTGTAAAGAATTTCCCTTCTGCTGAAAAAAAAAAAAAAAAAAAAAAAAAAAAAAAAAAAAAAA